TTGTGGAGGTGAGAATATTGAATTATCAAAAACTGCACACATGAAGACATCTTGGATGAAACTTTTTTAATATGGAGAAAAAATAGCTCAAAGTGAATGGATTTAAAATAAAACAAGGGGAGCGCCTGGGTGGCTCAGTCGTTAAGCATCTGCCTTCGGCTCAGGTCATGATCCCAGGGTCCTGGAATCGAGCCCTGCATTGGGCTCCCTGCTCAGCAGGAAGCCTGCTTCTCCCTCTCCCACTCCCCCTGCTTGTGTTCCCTCTCTCACTGTGTCTCTCTCTATCTAATAAATAAATAAAATATTAAAAAATAAAATAAAATAAAACAAGGAATATTTATACTAGATGTTTGGAAGAGATAATTACCATATCCAGAAATCTTATGGAGCCCTGTCCTCTGGAAAATATTTAGAAAAAGACAGACTTGTCTTTCTCAGAAATGTTTGAGCTTAAGTTTAAATTCTGAACCAAAATAAAGGCCACAAAAATCCTCCTTACCATTTATTAATTCTAAAATAAACTGGGGTAAGATGAGAAGTAATTCCTAAGCCTTGGCCCGTCGCAACTGGAAGGCAGATCAGTCTCGAGATTTATGTCTGTGAGCCCAGATCCCCCTGTGGGGAAAAGATTTTACAGATTGTTTACCCCTGGAATGCTGTGACTGAGGGGGGGAGTGGACTTTTCCCTTCCTCTCTCTTTCCCAATGTAACTAAAAGTGAAACTGGAGTGCCAGGGCTGGAAACAGGGATTTCAGGGACAGCCCTGGGAGCTCTGCTTCCAAGAAAAGATCACCAGGTGTTCCCCCTGGAAATCCAGCACCACCTATCAATAAACCAAATTTTGTATGGGTAAATTCATCCCACAACAAAAATCATGGTTCTTATTAGATATAGTAAATATGACTAATTAATTAGAGCACCTGTGGCACAGAGCTCCAAATTCAGTATTCTGGACGACTGGGTGGAGTTAAGGCTTATCTGTAAAGGGTTCATTTCCCTAGATTAGGTCCCCAAACCAGACACTGTTTAGATGGATCTGAAGGGGTTCAGAATGAGCCTCCCCAAAATGTGCATTTTTGGCTTGTGGATTAATTTGAGCTGAAGTCGATCAAGGCCTGAAAGGCTAAGGAAAAGCTTTTATCTTTCCTTTAACTGCCTAAAATAATTTAGATAGAGGGCCTAGGCCAGGAAGAGAACTATCATCAGAGATAACTACAAAGAAGATGAGCTCAGTATGGTAGCTATGGGAAGCTCAGGGGCCTGTTCAGATTCCTTTCTGGCTCCATTGTCTCTGCATGCCATGGCAAACATTTGCTTACCAAACATTTGCTCTTCCCATCTTCCTGTAAATTATCTTCCTCCCCTTTAAAGTCTCAGGCCCCAACCCCCTTCCCCGTAGCTCAGGATGGCATATAAGCCTCAATTGCCTGACCACTTGTGGGTCTCCTATTCTTATGGGGCTGTTGTACATATGTAATTAGATTTGTTTTTCTCCTGTTAAGTGTGTTTTATGTCAATGTAATTAATAGACCCACCAAAAGAACCTAAAAGGGTAAAGGAAAAATTCTTCCTCTTCTACAGAACACAGCAGAGCTGACCCTGGGTGGTAAAAACATGTGGAAATTCTACCAATAAGATCAGGACAGAAAAGCAATTCCCAAGTCCCATCCTGTATGGGGTAAAGTTAAGCACACAGGCTTTAGAGGCAACTTACCTGGGTATGAGACCTGGTTCTGCAGTTCACAAACAAAGCAACGCTAAGGAGATTCCTCATCTTCTCTGTGCCTCAAGTCCTTATCTATAAAATGGGTATAATAGTGGTTCTTACTTTATAGAATTATGGTGAGAATTAACTGACATAATGCATGTTAAGTGCTTAGAAGAGTACCTAGAACATAGTTGTGATCAGTAAGGGTTAGCTATTATGATTGACATAAAGGGGACCCTAGCACCTGTCCTGCCTACTTCTCAAGACAAAACAATTCTCTCAGAGGCTTGAGGGCTCAAGCTTCTGGGTCAGCACCCATCCATCCCCTAGGCTTCCCTTCTCACTCAAATACTGAAGTCAGTCATGGTTGCTGGGTTCCCCAGTCAATTAGTGGGCATTTTCTTCTAGATACAGGAAGAAACCATTAACCAGGCAGGCTTTGTTGAGGGACTGACCACCTAATTTTAACTCTTCACATTTTCCTACATCCCCCCAGACAAGCCTGTGAGCCCCAATCTGGCTTCTTTGAAGGACTCTGTAGTTGAGAGGAAAAGGAAATCAAAACCTTTCATAGCCATGCAGCTCCAAGCAACTTCTGGTTGCCTGCATCTCTTATCTGTAATCCAGAATCCAGCCCACATCTTCTCCAGCCCATAAAAGATCAGTTCCCTCTTCACAGCAGTCCTCAGCACAGAGGACATCTGCGATATTGTGATTTATAAGAAATATATATATAGTGTATATATATGTGTGTGTGTATATTTATGTGTATATATGTGTATACACGTGTGTGTGTGTGTGTGTGTGTATCCAGATGACCAAAATATAGTCTCATATATATTTGGTCTTCACCCACACAGTTCCTGGCTCACAGCTTCCAAAACCCTTGGAGTTGCCTGAACAATAGAGCTATGGGAGCATCTTTTGTGATATTTGGTCTCTGTCCTCGGTTCCTGAAAATGCTTCAGAGCCATGAGGGTGAAATGGGTGTCTTGTTATTCATAACAAGCTCCTTTTCACCACAGCTGGGTTTGTTAAGGAGGGTGGCTTTTGGAAAACACTTAAGGATGGGGGCTGGTTGCCAGGGAAACCAACCATGAATAGTGGGTTGAAACTTTCAGTCCCACCCCCTGATTTCCGGGAAAGGAAGAGGGGCTAGAGTTTCAATCAATCACCAATGACCAATGAGTTAATCAACCATGCCTATGTAATGAAGCCTCTATAAAAATCCCAACGGAAGGTGTTCAGAGAGCTTCCAGGTTGGGAAATAGAACCGTTCCATGTGCCACTGAGCCAGGGCCCCAAGCTCCATGAACACAGAAGCTCCTTTGTTCTGGACCTTGCCACATGTATTTCTTCATAGGGCTGTTGATTTGTATCCCTTAATAACCTTTGTAATAAAGCAGTAATCTGGCGAGTAAAATGGGTTTCCCTGAGTTCTGTGAGCCATTCTAGTAAATTAATCTAGAACCCAAAGAGGGGGTCATGGGAACCTCTAATGTATAGCCAGTGGGTCAGAAGTGTAGGTAACAACCTATACTCACAACTGGCATCCTGTTGGAAGGGGACCGTTGGAGCTTCCAATTTGTAGCTGGTCAATCAGAAGCACAGGTAACAACTGGGGCGTGTGATGGTATCAGAAGTGGAGGGTGGTCTTGCCAGACTGAGCCTTTTACCTGTGGAATCTGATGCTATCTTCGGGGAGATCGTGTCAGAACTGAACTGAATTCGTGGATACCTTGTTGGTGTCTGAGCACTGCTTATTGGTGCGGGGAAGCCTGCACATACACGGCGGAATTGAGTCCAGAAAGCCAAAAGAACATCTCAGACCTGGGAATGGAAATTGCAGTCCTCCACAAAACTACCCCTCTTCATTTCAGGCTGTCCTGGGACCAGTGCCAGGAACCACATTCAACTGGTTTGAGCCAGAGAGATCAGCTTCCACCAACTCTTCTGGTGGGAGCTGCTGGGAGCTGCCTTTCTCAGGTCAGGGCCAGTTGCTGCCCAGATTCCATTCACTCCCACATACCACAGTCTAAACCCTGCATAGCTAAGCAGAATCCTCTATACCTGCTTTCTCCCAGGAGTGTGAAGTCAGGAACTCAGCTTTTATTATTTCCTTGAAGGAGAGGACAGGAAACGCATTCAGTCATCTATCTGACGTTCATCAAGCACCTACTGTGTGCCCCTGGCCTGGGTACTGAGGAGTCCCAGCCTAGTGTGGACAGTTAATATTAGGGTTGTGAGATCTACGCAGAGGTAAGCGCTGGCTTCTATTTGACTTTTCTGCCCCATTATTTCAGAGTGCTATAAAGCTCCTCGCATCCCTAAGCCCTACATCAGAATGTTGGACACCTTTTGTCCCTTGGGCAGAGGTGGGGTGGTAGAGCATGATCTAGAATCCAGCACAGGGCCAGGCTCAGGGATGTTGATTGGGTGGAATCAGAGCTGATGCCTTGCTCTCACCAGTTTAGATGATGGAGCCCAGACCTCATCAATACCAGGTAGGTGGAAGGGGGAGGAGGGGGGGGTGCAGGGGTGCATGGCATGAACCCAACTCCTAGGAGGTAGACGGGTAAAGAGAGGGGCCCGTATTGCAGTCATGCTCTCCCTGCTCTAAGCCCAAGTGCCAGGTCTGCCCCTAACATTTGTAGGCCGAAGGAAGAGCACAGATGAAGATCCACTTACCACACAGCTAAATTTGCATCAAGTCTAAGTTAACTGTGAATGATCTAGCCTTGTATCATGGCAAGCATACCTTCATAATAACCTGAAGTTCTGTGTTAGAATGTTCCGCAGCCTTGGTCCCCAGCCTACAGTCTGTCTTCTCTTCCCCCCTGGCACACCCACCTCACACGGCAAAGGGCTTTGTGGGTATTTATAAACACTCCAGCTTGTATATCCAAGCTCCATCCACTCAGCTCTCTGACAAACAGCTACCCCTTGGCCACCTCTTGGGCCTAGGAGTGTGCACACCAACAGCACAGTCTGTCAAAACCCAGAGAAGAGAGGTTGGCAAGTGGGCTTTGCAGGGAATTCTGAGGTCCTGGAAGGAGAAAGGGCACATCTTGACCCTGCCTTCCATGGGGAGGATCCTGGCTGGAGGGTCATGGCAGGGCTTTCTGAAGTGAGAGGCCAGGGCACTAACGCTCGCCCTTCCTGCAATGGGGTTTTCCAGGCTACGAGCTCTGATGGCAGAGGTAGCTCCCCGGTACTTGTCTGGCTTCTCCCTATCAGCTCCTGAGAGATGAAGGATCAACAAGCAGACCCGTACAAAAGAAAAATACTGTTTATTCCACACAACTACATCAAGTGCTTCATCCCCATTCTTCCCTCCCCACCCCTCACTCCAGCCCTCAGCAGGCTTTGCCCCTTGTGGGGAGATAGTCAGAACCTCAGTGTCAGAGCCTGGCCTACGAGACACAAAGGAAATCTAGGCATAGGAAGGTGAGTGGGTCCAAGGGCACAAAAACGTCAGGGTTTCTCTCATTCCAGATTCAAGTGTGTTCCTCAATCCGCTTGGCCAAATTCTTCCCTGGGCCCCCACTAGATAAAATGCCGTGGATAGTGCAGGGTCAAAGACCCCAGCTGATTCACCGGGCCATAGAAAGTTTTGGTCTTTCTTTCATTTAAAACAAAAAACAAACAAACAACACCACACGCAGACAGTGAAATCATTTCTGCCCTTTCTTCTGCCTAAGCTCTGGCTTCTGTCCAGAAAGGTGCTTTCAAGACAAAAGTTACATTAACGCCCTTCAGAGCCTGGCGCTACCAGAAACAAAGCAGAAAACCCACCTCGGGTACAGATAGCTGCTCCCCGAGGGTCCGACAGTGGGAGAGCAGGAGCAGAGACAGCAAGCCGGTGAGCTCTGCCCTGGGCCATTTCAGGGATACTCTGCACCCCCCTGCCTGGGGAATTCAGCCCGCAAAAATTCTGTCCCTCGGAAAGACCTACCCATCCTTCCTGGAGAGGAGAAAATGGTTTCATTCTAGCCCAGCCTCGGGAAGACAGATTTAGAAAAGGGAGGAGCTGAGAAAGCATGGCCAGGCCTAATTTAGACCAGAACTTCATTATCTTTTTCCTTCCGCAGACCAGGACAGATGGGTTCCTCCTGCATCTCCACAGCCACGGCCACACCCTGGATTATATGCTACTTCCAGGGCTCCAGCTGTGACCCACTTGTCTCTCCCAAAAAAGAAAGCATATCTGAACGCAAGTGTTTGAGGGTGAAAACCTGTCTCTCTCTGATTTATTGAAGGGTAAGTCACTGAATCCTTTGCCAACCCCAGTACTTTAACTCTTCTTACTGAAAACTTGCTTAGCATGCCTCTCCCAAGCCAGTTCATCTCATGCAGACAGGGTGGATAACCCTAAACTTGAGTGTGACGCCCCTTCCCCCCCCCCGCCCCGCCGGGGAGACATATTCTCTCCTGGGAGGCCGGGGCAGGCAAGGTGCCTGCCTGCTTCCTCGTTCTCACTACACTCGGGAAGGTTTGGTTGGTCCGAACGTAGCGGGGTGTGTGTGTGGCAATTTGACACACAATTGTCCTCTCACACTCTGCCAATGTAGGGCCTGCCAGGGACCAGTCGTAGGCAGGAAATGACAGCAAGCCAGAGGAAGCTAGACTAGGAGGTGGCTCTGCCACAGTGACCAGTGGGGGTGGGGATGTGCCCTCGCCTCACAGTCACTTCATCAGGGTATATCTTGTGAGGTGTGGAGGAGGAGGGCGGCTGCTACGGACCTGGCTCTGTGACTTGTGCCCCTTTAGGGACGGTCTACACAGCAAGCCTGGGTTCATCTAAGTCAACCTCTTAGTGCTCTCCTGACCTCCCAGAGTGACATACTGAGTTCCAGGGGTTGTCCAGCCACCGTGAAACTCACTTAGCAGCTCGGATGAGATGCCAGCCCTCAACGTGCCATAGCTGTCCTTTCTACAGGTGACGCCCATCCTGCCTCAGGGGTCTTCTTGACTGGGGGGTGGGGGTGGGGATCGTCTGCACAAACACGTGGTCTAAGACTTGGGACAAAATAAGATTTCTCCTCCAAGATCCAAGGCTCAAAGTCTCAAAGAAAATTAAGAGTTAAGTCACCTTCCGCAAGAGACCTTCCTGGGCTGCCATCAGTCCTTTCTGGATGTTGGCCTTTTCCCCGGGGCCTGGCTGTCTGGTTTAGTGTTTCGTTTGCCCCTTCTGAGAAGGCCCGGCACTGGGTTGGGGGTAAGTGGGAGGATAAGAGAAAGAGAGAGTCAGCATTCCTTCCCTCATTTTTCTCCAGGGTGCTGCGAGCTTGGGCAATGGGATTTTCCAGGCTGCCAGTTCTTTATCCCTCACTGTTTAGTGGCGGAGACAGCCATGGGCAGAGATTAGATTAAAATCTGGGAGGATGGGCTTATTTACTAAGTTCCCAACGTGCTGTACACCCAGGTCAACTCCAGGACAGCTAGAGTTCAAAGCTGCTTCCTTCCACCATGGATTACAAATGAAAAGGTTCCCCTTTGGCGCAATTTCCCCCCAAAAGGAATCAGGAAGAAGTGGGAAAGGACATCACGTGTTCTGGCCCCAGGGCTGCGGGAACCTTCTGACCTTGAAGGCAAGGCAGACCCTGAGCCTGACCTTCTGAGCAGCTCATCACACTTTTCCCAGAATTGTGCCTCTTGGGTCCTTTCGGGAGGGGTGGGGGGGCAGTGTGCCTGCAGGCAAAGGGTGGGAGGTGAGGCTGCAGTCCCTGCCACACTTACACACAGGAGCAAAGGGGAAGAGAGGGCCAGAGAGAATGCCGTCGAAAACAAGAGCAAATGGCCAGGGGTCCTTCGGGGGCTGCAGCAGCCCTGCCCCCAGGACGGGGGCCGGGGGGGTGTCTGGTTCCCAACCAGAATTCACCCTTCGAAAACCACATTAGCAAAGTGCTTCTTTAAGTGAGGGAGGGATCCCTCAGCGTGACTGGCCCGAGCCTGGAGCTCTCGGTGGGCCCCTCTGCCCTCCCCATGCTGTGAGATACGTGGAGGAGAGGAGGGAGGGAGCGGACACACATGCACACGGTGGAGTCTCGCGACCCAGGACAAGCACAGCTGCGTGCCACACTGTGACAGGTGCTGTCACGGCGGTGGCTGCAGCCAGGTGCCAAGGGAGAAGTACAAAGTGCTGGAACGCAGGGCTGGGGGCTGAGCCCTAAGGGATCTGAAAGACATTCAGCTTGCTGGTGTTCTTGAGCGTCTGGCGCCGATTGCAGAACCAGACCCGCACCACCTCCCGGTCATAGTTGAGCTCCTTAGCAATCTCGGTGATCTCCTGGCCTGTGGGCAGCGGGTTCTTCTCGAAGTAGGCATTCAGAGCCTCTATGGCCTGAGGGGTGAAGGAGGTGCGGCGTTTGCGTTTCTTGGAGGGCTCACCTCCCACAAACTCCATCAGGTTCTGCTGCCCTTCCTGGTTCCGGAGTTCGGCTTCATTCAGCCACTTTTCCAGCACTGGCTTCAGCTTCTGGGCACTCTTGGGCGTGATGTCCAGCTTCTCGAACCTGTGGGTGACCCGAGCCCAGGGAAGGGACGGTGAGAATGTCTTAGTCCTCACACTGGGGTGTGAGTACACTCCGCAAGGGGCCGCTCCTCTCAGGACTGGTGACACTGGACTAAATGTTCCCCCCCCCACCAAGACTACCCTGGCCCAGCCAAGCCCGGACTCCTCAGACTGTCTTGCATCCCAGGTCATACCAGGGAGACCACTCCCATGGCCTCAGTTCAGTGGTGCAAGGATAGCAGTGCAACTGCTGTATGAACAACTCTTCCAGAATGTTCACACCCAAGTGAGTGAGGTCCTCTGAGGAGTTGTCTAGAGAGGCTTTCAGAGATGGCACATGGATGTCACGAGTGCACCTCTCCAGTCAGCCCCACAGCAGCCTCACTAAGTCAGACAACTCTTTCTGACCGAAGCCCAGATGGGACTATGGAACTGCCAACATGGAGCCTGCTCTAACAGTCACCGTCATCTGATCCAGGGAGTTGGCAGGCACCTTTTGGCCTTCCCTGAGCCATGTGCTCATTCTTGTTTGAAACCCTCTGCCCTCCTTTGATGCTGGCACCAGAACCAGTTCGAACACTGCACACAGAAAAGCCAGCTCCATCCCTTTACAGTCATGCCTTGGAGGAGGGGGAAATGGGGGCATAATGGGGGGGTGCAGCGGGGGTCGTGGTTGAGAGCCAAGTCAGTACCGAAGGTCCCGCTTTTGGGACCAACTTCTTAAGCTGTGCTCCTTTCCCTGTAGGGCTCCTGAATGGATTAGGGTCTTGGGGTCCCCCCCACCAAAAGACCACATAAATGCTCAGGATTGGAGGATAAACTACAGAGGGCCCTCAGATGGACTGCATCAGTCTTTGGCTACTGTAGGTGTTCACGTCGATCCTTAGAACAGCCTTTCTGGCCTAGAAGGAGGCAGGAGGAAGGGAGAACATGGAAAGGGGCCATGCACCTGGGTCCCAGTGAGTGCCTAGTGACATCGGGTGCCTGAGCAGGACTTACTCACCTGCAGATAGCTGACTGGCTGTAGGCCGGGCCTTCCGTGGCAGTCAGAGCCTGACCCACCTGAGTCTGCGTGAGGCCCAGGGACAGCCGTCGGATCTTAAAGTTCTTGGCAAACTCCCGGATCTCTTCCAAGTTGATTCCGTCCTCATCCAGACTTGGGGTATGTGGCTCTAGGCCAGAGGAAGGGACCAGGGGTGAGTGTGTAAGACAGAAGATGTCACTGCTTATCTAGCTTACTGGCCTGGCCTGGTAAGGTAGTGAGGGGTGAGGACATTTGACAAGAGGCCCATGCCCCCTTACTGTCCTCTTCACCCCTATTCCCAAAGCAAACGAGACTTGCAGGAAAGGAGCCTGGACTAACCTGTCTGGAAGTAGGGGTCTGTTTTCAAGTTCTTCTAGCTCTAATGCCTGACCCTCCCCCATTCTCCCCACTCCTAGCCCCAAGTACACCTTAGCCATCCACATTCCTCAGATACTGGGTGAGAGACCAAAGGAGAGACAGCCACTGGGTTGGCTTCTCAAAGAAGCAGCCTCCACTATCATCATGCCTAGAATCCAGCTCAGCAGGAATGGGAATTAGAGAGCCAATCCCTGGTGTCAGGCCTTTGCCCTTCCCCTTTGGACCCTAGAAAGTTTATTAAGGAGAGCAGTATCCAAAGGCGCTGGGGTATTTGAATAAATGCCTCCTCTCCTCTTCCCTACAACCTTCTCCAGGAGCCACTTACTGGATACCAACTGGCTGACAGTAGGGGTCTCAGAGCAGGTGATTGGAATGGGAACAGAGGCAGATGGCTTGGCCGCTGGGGCCGGGCTGGCGATGACCACCGCAGGCTGGGGCACGGCTGGCGTGGGCTGGATGGGCTGTACCTATGAGAAGAGAGTCCATGAGTCCCCACTGCCCACCTGCCTGGCTCAGGGGGTTGCAGTCCCTGCAAGGTCCAGAGGCAGGGCAAAATGGGCATGAAATCCTCACTCACCTGGCACACTCCTACCTATGCGCCATCACAAAGCAAGACTTACAAGCTACTTATTAGCACCCACCCAACAATCATGACCAATTTGGAGCCTCATAGGCACCTGTGACACAGGCAGGTCAGAGGCTCAGAAAGTTTCAGTACACTTGGTCAAAGCCCCAACAAGTATCCACCCTTGAGATAACTGCTCTCAAATCGTTTCCCTCAGAGCAGAAACCGAAACCTGATTCTAGGGCCTCCCAGGCCCCAAATGTCCATCAATAGGGAACTGGCAAGTGATTCCTGGGACTCCCCTACAGTGAGATTCTATGCAGCTATTAAAAAGAGTACAGTAAATCTCTTAAATACACACAAAGAGCTCTGGGTCACAGTGCTAAGTGGAAAAAAAGGTAAAGTGAAAACAGGTTTTAGAGAATAGTTCCTATTAAAAATATGTATGGGGATGGGTTAGCCTGGTGATGGGTATTAAAGAGGGCATGTACTGCATGGAGCACTGGGTGTTATATGCAAACAATGAATCATGGAACACTACATCAAAAACTAATGCTGTAATGTATGGTGATTAACATAACATAATAAAAGAAAAAAAATACATATGGGGGCGCCTGGTGGCTCAGTCATTAGGCGTCTGCCTTCGGCTCAGGTCATGACCCCAGGGTCCTGGGATCGAGCCCCGCATCGGGCTCCCTGCTCCGCGGGAAGCCTGCTTCTCCCTCTCCCACTCCCCCTCCTTGTGTTCCCTCTCTCGCTGTGTCTCTCTCTGTCAAATAAATAAATAAAATCTTCAAAAAAAATACATATGAGTTTCCAGGAAAAAAATCTGGAGGCATATAAAGCAAGTTGTCAACAGAAGTCATCTCTGGAGGTGGAATTTTCCTTTTTTCCATTAACGTACTATTGGAATTTTTATAAAAATCATGTATCATATTTATCATCAAGAGAAACTATAAATATATGACATTAGTATTTTTTGTATGATTTTTTTTTTGAGTAAACTCTACCCCCAACATGGGGCTAGAACTCATGACCCCAAGATCAAGAGTCGCATGCTGTACTGACTGAGCCAGCCGGGGGCCCCAGTATGACTTTTTTTTTTTTTTTTAAGCTTCCGGGAAAGTGCAGATTTCTCTAGGATGGGTCCTGTTCCCTGGATTCTACCTCTTGGTAGCTCTCAAGTCCATTCCTTCTTCATCACCAGAACCTTATTAGCCTTCGGTCAGGGCTCCTCATTTCTTGCTAGAACTGTTTCTCGGCTGCCTCCTAACAGGTGACAAGGACTCAAGTCTTGCCACTGTTCAGTTCTTAGCTCCACGTGTATAAGAGCTATTTTTTTTTTTTTTAAGTAGGTTCCATGCCCAGTGTGGAACCCAACGTGGGGCTTGAACTCACAACCCTGAGGTCAAGACCTGAGCTGAAACCAAGAGTCAGATGCTTAACCAACTATGCCACCCAGGCACCAACCGCCCCCCCCCCCAGGGGGGTAATTTCTTTTTAATACACATCTAGCCACTTCCCTGCTAAAAGCCCTTCCATGACTTCCCACTACATAATAACAGTGATAAAATAAAAGCTTCACTTTTCCAGTGCTTCCTGTGTACCAGAGTGTTAACTGTCTTATGTATAATATATCCATTAACATTCATAACCTTCTGAATTGGTACTCTGATAATCTCCATGTTACAGAGGAGGCTAAGGGGTTATTCACAAAGCTTGGAAACAACACACCACATTTGAGGGCCACGGCCTCAACATCACCTGAGAACTTGCTAGAAATGCAAACTCTTGGGCTCTACTCCAACCCTGCTGAATAAGAACTCCGGGGGTGGGGGGAATGTGTGTGTGTGCGTGGGGAATCTGCATTCCAACAAGCCCCCCGGGTGGTTCTGATACCCACTCAAGTGTGGGAACCCCTGCTCTGGCACATTATCATTCCTGCAATTACGTAAAGGTAGGCCCACTCTCCCATCGAACTCATCCCTTTAGATGAGTTCACCGACCCTTCTCTATGAGGCCTTGCTGAACTCCCTGGTCTGTTGGGAGCTCCCTTCTCTGGCTCCCCACAGCACCTTCGCAGGTCCCTATCATAGTCCTTGTCACGCTGGCTTGCAATGTCTCCAGCACTGGGCTACCTAAGGCTAGGAAAGGCATCTTACTCATCTCTAGATCTTCAGCACCTGGGATAGAGGAGGCACTCAAAAACGGCTCCTGGAATGAACAAATAAAGCAATAATCAAAGCCACAGTGCAGAGTGAAGGGGTAAAGTGGGAGGAGGTGCAGAATAAAGTTCTGGGGTTCTTCTGGTGGTCTGTTCACCCTGGAGCTAATCCAGGCTCGGTTTACTCTGACCACCTCCCTGGCCTTCTCAGCACGCCACTAGCCTCTGAGGGCACAGAGACGCATTTTTGGGTGTGTGCGGGTAGGGGTTGGGGGGTGCTCCTTCCCTGGACAGAGCATGTGGGGACTCGCTTGGGCCTTCTACCCTGGGATTTCCCCTCACTTTGGAGAGGTGCTGTTTCCCGGGGACTTCAGAAGATAACCTTGTCCTGCCCTGCAGTCTTGAGGGAGGCAGTCCATGCCAGACAGCCCTGCCTGCCGCCCACCCCCCACAACCCTGCCCTCGCCCCAACCCAGCCCTTGTACCTCACTCTTAGCAGGGGACTCAGGCGTGCTTGCCTTCCGGACAGCCACGGGTGGAGGCAGGGGGCTGCTGGCCAGGGTTGCAATCACCTGGCCCTGGGCATTCAACAACAGCTGGGGTGTCACAGCCTGGACCTGCAGGCTCTGGGCTGGTGCTGGGGCTGCCACGCTAGCCGAGTTCACTACCCACGGAAGGGCTCCAATAACCTGGGAGGAAACAACGCAGGGACCCCGGGTGTGAGGCCAGTGTCCAGTCCTGCCCCCAACCCAAACCCCCACACTGGCAGGGGAAGGGACTTAAACAAATCATTTCACCCTTCTGGAGCTCAGTTTACTCATCAGTAAAGACAAGGATTCATCCTCTAGGAGCTGTTTCCTTTGTGCGATCTCCAGAGCTGTGGTGGAGCAGGAGTAGGTCTGCACGTGAGTCACATGGCCCTGGATGTGAATCCCTGCCTTGCCTCATTTTATCGGGGGGCTTAATTTCTCTGGACCTCAGCCTTCTCCCCTGTAAAAGGGGAATGCAAATCTCTGCCTAGTAGGCCTGTACTCCAAGTGAGGTGAGGTAATGTACAAGAAAGCACCTAACGCAGAGCCAGGCCACGAGGTGGTGCTCCACAAATGAAAGCCCCCGGCTAGAGTGAGCACCTAGAGGGCGGGGTGGTGGCTATGCCCCTGTCGGGCTCAGCATCAGCACAGAGCTGCCACACAAGGGACAGGGACAGCAGCTCGATACCCTGTTGGAGTTTCTTTGACCATTAGCCCACATCCTGACCCCCCAGATAGCTTCTCCACAGCCCCCACCCCTCAGCCCTGCCTTTGACCACTTGCCTGTCCCTGAGCGTTGGTGAGGATCTGACTGCTGATCCCTGGCATGCTGGGAATGGCGTTGGCAATGACCGGAGTGGTAGTGAGGGAACCTAGGATCTGGGTCTGTCCCCCGAGGGAAGCGGCACTGATCTGTGGGTGGAGAAAGAATCCTGCTCAGAGGCCAAGGGGCAAGAAAGAGCCCAAGGCAGAGAGGAGAATGCTGAGGGCCGGGGGTGGGGGGGTGGGGAGATACAGGTGCTGGGCAGATGTGAATGTGGGCTGCAGACCCAGGTCCAGCTGAAGAGTATCCAGGGCCAGGGGCTGCAGGGGCCTGGCAGGGAAGGGTGGGACCGCCGCCGTGGAAGGGTAACCCTGGCTAATCTCTCAGGCCAGGCCTGGGAGGACAGAAAGTCCAGACTGGGGCGGGCCGATGTGATTCTAGTCGCACCTAACAGCACCCCTGGCAAGCCGGGAGCCACACTGGACAGACACTGGCATATGGCCGTGAGCCTCCAACTCTGCCTTGTTACAGCTCACAAGTGTGCAATCCCCAGACATCATCCCACCCTCCAAGGCCGATCCAGTGGTTCAGGTTCTGGAGTATTTGCCCAGCCCCCTTGGCGGAGGCCGTCTGCTCTTGTCTGGGACGAATGGGCTGGCAGATGCAAGGAGAAGGCCTCAGAGGGGGGCCATCTCTGCTGATGTGTTGGAAAAGAGCCGTATTCGGGGGGGCTGGTCCTCCACCTCCTTCCTCCCCTGTGGGAAGGGCCAGTTCCACCCTTGGCCCAAGATTCAGTCCATCCCTGATCAGCCCCGGGTGAGGGCAGCGGCTTACAATTCCTGGGCTCAGCGCGAAGCCCGCGGGCTGGACGGTGATCTGTGGGGGGGTGTCCACCGGCTTGGGCGTGGGGGCAGCAGCGGCCGCAGCAGTGGGCTGCGGGACAATGGCAGGCGCGGTCTGCAGCAGCGGCTGGGTCTGGAACAGCGTCTGGGGCTGGGCTGCTGGCCGGGGCTGGCTGGGCGAGGAGGCCTGTGCCGGCGGTGGGACAGCTTGTACGGGTGTCGGGAGGGCGGTGTTCAGCACAGCGGCTGCTACGGAGCAAGGCAGAGACAGGGGTGCTCAAACGCCTAGCCGCGGCCCCTGAGCGGCTCCAATCCCAGGGGATCTGGCACAGGCAGAAGAGGGGGTTGGGACAGCGGGGCAGAGGGGACAGGCAGCTGTGATTCCCTTGATCCTTGCAGGGGCAGCACAGGACAACATCTCTCATCCCCCCTCCCTTGGGCCTGGAGATGTGGAGGTTCAAAACCAGACGCTGAATCTTCTTGCAGTCCTTCTCAGGAGGCTGGTCGTGGGGTGAATTCTGGCGTGGGGGGAGAGGGGCAGTCTCAGTTGGCTGGAGTAGGAGAGGCCTGCTGGGCCAGCACCGTGTCATGGCCTAGAGTCCCGAGATGGTGCAGCAGCTCTGTGGCGGGGTGCCTGGGACACCGGATCCAGACTCCAGGGCTGTGGGCCCTGGCGGGCCGCGGGTTCTGAGTCCAACATGGCAAGCACGCGTGCAGGGAGAGCAGTATAGGGTGGTGGGGGGCCTGGTGCTGTCCTGGGGAGAGTTGCCGTTACCTTGCAGACCGGCTAAAGGTGGCTTGAAAATTCCCCCCGTGGGAGAAGCAGCTGTCAGTCCTGGGAGGGCGGCCACGGTTGCTGTAGGAATTGTCCACACGGCCAGCCCCTGCTGACCAGCCACTTGACCTGCAATACTGATGGGGATAAGAAGAGGTTGAGTAACTGCCCCTGCTGGAACCATAACTCCTGTCAGAACTGTGGCTAAGTTTTCCTGAGTCAAGACCTGCAAAAGCAAACAAGATTTCAAAAAGAAAAGAAAAAATAAAAAATCAACATTGACAGCGCAAACACCGGGTCTCTCGGACCCAGTTGAGCACAAACAAAGCATTCTGGGGGGGGGGGGGCAAAGGCCCACATGAGGGTGGGGAAGAGACAAGCCCTAGCCGGAGGCCCAACCCTGAGGGGGTGCCTGGACCTGACCAGCCTGCCTTCAGAGAAGCTGCCCCCCTTGGAGACAGGGCCTGACCCTGCTCACAGCACAGCCAAGGGGAAGCAAGGGCGGGGGCTGGTGGAACCAAGTGGTCGAGGGCCTACAGAGGCCTCTGGGCAGCTGTGATGGAGGATACCCCTGCTGGATGCCTGGCAGATCTGTGCCGGGAGCGAAGGGCCACAGGGAGTGCAGCACGGCTGGGGGATCCGGGAGGCAGCTTCTCATTGCACTGGGGCTGCCCCCTGGCTCTAAATGAGGACTCTGAACAATCCATTAACTCTGCCAGGCATCCACTGGAGGGGCTAACAAGGGCATCCCCTCATTTAGTCGTGAGATAAAGAGACACCTGTGGCACGAAAGAGTTAATGTTCTCCCTACCTACAGTCCTTGCTGGACCCAGGGATATGACTTGGCAAGCACACATCTGATTTTCCCAGTGGGCCTGATCTGGGGTAGGGGAGAGGCCAGGGGTGCCTAGTAGGGGGGAGTCCCTCCTCCAAGCCACAGCCCCTTCCCTGTTCTGCCCGTGAAATTCCCAGATCCCACGGCCACCCCACGTTGGCTGTCCCATGCTTTGCTCCTGCCCAGGGCCCTCTGCTCAGCTCCCTGGGGGGCCCTTACCTGGGGGGCAGCTTGTACAGTTAGTGGCGCCAGGGTCTGCGAGGCCTGAGGCTGGCTGGGGGCTTGGCTGAAGGTGGCAACAGCAGGGGCAGGGCTCGGAGGGATCCCCGGCAGAGACTTCACTTCACATGGCATGGAGAGAAAGGACAAGGAGTGAGCCTGGTAAGCGCGGAGGGGTCACCGGAGTAGAGCATCTTGTTGCAGCCTGAGGTGACAACTCTCAGCCTCACGCTCTATTTCTGCATAACCCAAGGCCAATCACTGGCCTTCCCTGGCCCCAGGGAGACTGCTTCCCCCAGTGCTGCCGGTCGTGAGAACAGGAGGCTGGGGAGCCCTGTGCCTGACCTGCAAGGTGGGCTACCCTCTTCCCACCTCTAGCTGAAGAAAATGCAGGCCTGTGCGCAGCTGGCTCTCAGTCTCTCATTCCCCGGCTCCACAGGACACGGTGACCTATCACATCATCAGTAGAAGGGCCTGAAGTGAACGTGTGGCAGGAAGGGAAGGAGCTAGAATCGATGGGAGCAACTTCCCTTGGCTCATCCCGCAGCGGAATCATTGTTCATGCCACCTGCAGGCTTCTTTTTGGATGCAGGTGCTGGCTTGGGGCAAGGCTCCGAGGATTCCTGTAGGGTGAAGTCCTTGAAGTGACAGGCCCTGAAAACTGGACTCCAGAAGGGGCACTGCAGGCTGGGCAGAGTTTCTCTGCCAGTGCCTAAGGGCTAAGGTCCAGAAGAGAAGCTTCGCTGAGCTTCTAAAGGAACCTCCTGTGAACCGGAGCTTTTCACCCATGTTACAGCGTCCGACTTCGGTATTGGGGACCCTACCAGGAAACCTCTTCAAAGCCACACAACCATGAGGAGAGGGGTTATTATTTAATACATGGTGAGACCACGGATGGGGTGATGGAGGTTAGACCAGATCGGTGGCCTCTTAATACTGGCTGCGCATAGATTTCCAGGCCTGAATCTAGGCCTCCTGAATGGGAATGCCCGGGAGTGGAGGCCAGCAACCGCTCCTCTCTCTCTTCTTTCTTTTAAGCTCGCTTGTGATACAGGACGCAGCCAGAGTGGGAACCACTGAATCAGATAACCTTCCAACCCTACGTTCCCAGCCCCTGTTTTAATCTGGAAAGGCAGCAATTTAACTCAGGACTGTAATGTTCACAGTATATAAGGACAAACAATCCAATTGTTTAAGGAATTAAAGAGACAAACAGGCAACAACTAAAGCCTTCTAAAATTCAAACAGGGGGCACCTGGGTGGCTCAGTCGTTGGGCATCTGCTTTCAGCTCAGGTCATGATCCCAGGGTCCTGGGATCAAGCCCCACATCGGGCTCCCTGCTCCGCGGGAAGCCTGCTTCTCCCTCCCCCACCCCCCTGCTTGTGTTCCCTCTCTCGCTGTCTCTCTGTCAAATAAATAAATAAAATCATAATTAAAAAAAATAAAATTCAAACAAAACAAAATAGCAGGTTCATCTCCACTGTGGAGGGGAATGCAGTTCTAACGACTGAAAAAAATCAGAGAACATAAGGATACTCTGAATCTATGAAAATTTATTTATTTTTTTTAAGATTTTATTTATTTATTTGACAGAAAGAGACACAGCGAGAGAGGGAACACAAGCAGGAGGAGTGGGAGAGGGAGAAGCAGGCTTCCCGCTGAGTAGGGAGCCCAATGTGGGGCTCGATCCCAGGACCCTGGGATCATGACCTGAGCTGAAGGCAGACGCTTAACGACTGAGCCACCCAGGCACCCCTGAATCCATGAAAATTTAAAAAAGATTTTGCTTCACAAAATTTTATGAAATTTAAAAAGGGAAGTGGGAAAATGGGAATGTGATGAACATGAATGAGAAAAGCTTACCATCTAAAGAAAGGACATATTCATTTTATTAGGATTTATTTCCAAAGTAGGACCCAGGGTCCAAGGGTCTGTACACATTTAGGGCTTTTGTCCCTTCTTGCAAGACTGCTTTTCAGAGACTGAACCAATTCACAGAACAGTCAATAATGTTCCTATTTCTCCAAAGTGCCACCCAATTTAGGTTTTATCACTGTTTATTTTTCTGGCTTAACAGGCATGTGGTACCTTACAGCCAATTAACTTGTCCTCTCATTGATAGATTTTGTATTTTTCATGTCATGACTTCCTCCTATGTACACAATTGATTTCTCTTCAAAAGGAATTCAAGTGGACAATACCTCAAAGGAAAAAACAAATTTTCAAAGGACCAGTACAAAGAAACTCAAAGCAGTACCGGTTATGACAGTGAAAAACCAGACAGTTTGACAATAGCCACACCCAGACTCAGGTGTTATGAATCTATGTCAATAAAGGAAATGGGCCTATGAATAATATGGTGGTAAGTGTCCTATTACAGTCTACTCTTGGTGGCCACAACTTTAAAGATACATACTTGTGACAAGGCCTGGGTAGTAATTTAGAGTGATATAAATCACTCGAGCTTTTTCATCCTGAAAAAGTTTCCCATTACTTAGTTTTGTTTGAAGAGGAAACTCTTCGTAATATTGCGTATCTAGAAAGATTGCAAGGCCACAGTCTAAGTTGGCAGCTTCTTAGGAGGTACGTCACAATGCCTCCCTTACCTTCTTGATGATAACTAGAATTTCCTTTCCAGAGAATAGGACTTTCGTGAAAGGCTTAAATATACAAACCTCTGGAAGATGATGTACATTACCATAAACACTCATGCTAAGGTGTAAATAGTTGATTTAGGATCCATTTCCGAGAGCAGGTTTGGAAAAGGAACAGAATTAAGGCACCAGAAGAAATGAGATATGGAAGACAGATTGAAGAGTAAAAAGGGATGGGGCGCCTGGGCGGCTCAGTCGGTTAAGCGTCCGACTCTTGATTTCGGCTCAGGTCACCATCTCAGTGTCCTGAGATCGAGCCCCACGTCGGGCTCCTTGCTGAGCATGATTCGGCTTAAGATTCTCTCTCTCCCTCCTCTCCACCTCCCTCTCTTAAAAAAAAAAAAAAAATGAGTAAAAGGGAAAATGAGGATAAACCTGGGATACCTCCCAAATTTTCTGAAGAGGGGCCTCATCCCCACCATGGAAAGGGATGAGAAGGGGAGCCAGATGTAACACCCTTGTCTTGGCTGCCTGCTCTCCAGGGCACTGCCCCCACAGGGGCAGGCGATGCCCACCCCAGCTTCAACACGGAGCAGAGCATTTCCAGGCTAGCGGAGAATGGTCATGTCTCTTGCCATTCCTTCATTCAAAAGGAGAAAAAAATGACCCGGGGTTACTAGGGTCCCAAATGAATCTGCACACTGATTGTGGGTAGAGCAAGGGATATGAGGCCTTGCAGTTTTCTTATTCAGGAGTTGCTTTTTCCCTAAAGCCTGTCCTCATTTGCTCTCTTCTTGGCTCCTCCTCTTGGCCCACCTCCATCAGCCCAGATCTCCAATCTAGGGAAGGGAAGATAAGCAGTAGGCTAGGGGAGATGAATCGTGGGGTTCTGGGGGGACTGACTAGGGAGGTCCCAGGTTTCCAGCAAAAGATGTCTACTCTGCAAGGTATCAGTGAGGAAAGTCCAGGAAAGGGTGCCCCACGGCCAGAGAGCCATGCCTGACACCAGTCCCAGCCTCTAGGCCAGGCCTGGTTGTGTCGCAGCTATACTGCAGGGTAATTAGGAGAGACCGTGTGGGTGGATCATCTCTCTCCATTCCCCGTACAGGAGAATCAAACTCTTGCCCTCAAGTGTCTTTAGAGGACAGCACAACTAAGACCAGCTGGCTTGACTCACAGCAGCCCAGCTGGGAGCAAGGAGCTCAGATTCTACAAGGTCCTACCTAACCCACAGCCTTAGTCCAGGGTAGGTAACACGCCCCCCCCACCCCCAGCTGCTGGGACCTCCCAGATCCACCACCAAAGGTACTGAGTTGGAAGGGCTGTCAGGATCCTAAAGGTCTAGTCTTTTCTGCATTGGGCCTGAGGGTCTGGCTGAGACCTGGAGCCCCCTCTCTCTGAGGTGAATTCAGTCCCCTCAACTGAGCCTTGCCTCTCTCCGCCTAGCTCACCATGACCATCCCAGTTGAGGTGTAGAAGTGATTGAAACCAGATAGAGTTCCAGGAACAAGGACGGCAGGACAGCCCTAGCAGCTGAGCAGAAGGATAGCTGTGGCCAGAGGCTGCCCATTGGACAGGAAGACAGCAAGACCCTAAGGCCACCGAGGCCCCAGGGATTCATGCTGGCTCTCCAAGGATCCAGAGAAAGGGACTCGGGTGGTGCAATGCCAGATGGGACTGATGGCCTCGTACCAGTTGCCTCTGCAGCGGAGTCTGGGTTGTCTGGCCCAGCTTCACCAGCAGGCTCACTAGCTTCGCCAGGGTCTCTGCTCTGGGAGCCCTCGGCAGCCACACCCTCCAGCCCTTTGCCCTCCTCCTCGGCAGAGATCTGGGCATCCACTCCAACTTCCAGCACGCGGATGGTCTCGTGGCCGGACATCACGATGACCTGCAAACAGAGCACAGGGGACTTCGCTGGTGCGGAGCGGCTGGTCTAGCTCCTGGGGAGCAGAGCTCTGGGGTTGGCTGGGGGAGAGCGGAGAGCGCACTTCAAGACTTGGACCTCCTGCCTGAGGGCTGCCTGCTCTGTGGCAGTTCCACAGCCTGGGGCCGGCTGCAGCTCCCTGATTCCAGGAAAGGTGCTTCGGAAAGGAACTGGGGGCCTGGTGACAGGGGAAGGGCTTGACATGTGCTGGAAAAAGCCCCACAGAGCCAAAGCGCTTGGGAATATTTCTATTTGTCCCCCTTCTTGGACTCAGTTCAGGGAGTGGTAAGTGGCCTAACCCACAGCCTTGCCAGGGTGTCCTCTTAGCTGCTAGGATATTGGAGGGTGGTGATGGAGGCCCCTAACACGGTATCCACAGCCTAAGCTGGGCCAAGAAGCAAATCCCTCTTCGCTTCTCTTGAAACCTTATAGAGGGACGCCTGGGTGGCTCAGTCGTTAAGCGTCTGCCTTCGGCTCGGGTCATGATCCCAGGGTCCTGGGATCGAGCCCCGCATCGGGCTCTCTGCTCAGCAGGAAGCCTGCTTCTCCCTCTCCCACTCCCCCTGCTTGTGTTCCCTCTCTCGCTGTGTCTCTCTCTGTCAAATAAATAATAAAATCTTTAAAACACACACACACACACACACACACACACACACACACACACGCAACCTTATAGAAGTTCCCTCAAAGATAAAGGGGGTGGAAAATGATTGCTCCACAATGTTGAGGAACTTTTTAAGCTCATGATTCCTTTACTTCTAAAACCCTGGGGTAAAGGCCAAGATTCCCCTGTGAGCTAACTTCTTGAAACAAGGGTCAGGAATCCTGGACTGGAGCTTTGGACCCCGTGGGCCTGCAGGCCCAGTCGTGCCACCTGTGGGCATGCTCCAACCTGGAGGGTGGCTTCCACATCCCAGCGGTGCAGGCAGCCCGCAGGCCTCCTTAGAACACTTGGTGGTCTTCTGCTCAAACAGCCAGCACTCCTGGGCTCTTTACCTCCAGCACTTTGAATTGGGCCATTCAAGATTCAGGGACACTCTGTGTATGCAAAAGCTCCGTCGGGCCTCCCCTGCACTTGGCCTGTACCCGAAGGCACTCCCACAACACAGTCCTGAGGCCTGAAAATTGAATCCAGCCAGAGACTGCCGGAAAAAGTGACAATGTAACCCATCAGGGAAGTATGAGTGAAATAAACTTCCAAAAGCAGTTCCCTTTCTGATGCAAACTTGACCTATGAGGGACTTCAGTCCAATTACATTTTAAGAGATATTAGTCTTTTTTTTCTTTTAAAAAATGATGTAATAAATATGTTCACTACAAAAAATGATAATACATATATACGAAAAAATAGAGTAAATTATGTGATGTCCCAATCTTTCCTTATGTAAAAATATACATATTTATATATATGTTTTTAAATTTTTCTTTATTTTTAAAAGTAAACTCTACCCCAGTGTGGGGCTTAAACTCACGACCTCCAAATCAAGAGTCACATGCACTACCAACCAAGCCAGCCATGTGCCCCATACATATTTGTATATTTTAATTTCATTTTTTAAAGTCACAGCTTAGGGGCGCCTGGGTGGCTCAGTCAGTTAAACGTCTACCTTCGGCTCAGGTCATGATCTCAGGGTCCCGGGATGGAGTCCCACATGGGGCTCCCTGCTCCGTGGGGAGTCTGCTTCTCCCTCTGCCCCTCCCCCCCAGCTGATGCCCTCTCTGTCTGAAATAGATAAATCTTAAAAAAAAAAGTCACAGCTTAAATCCCCCAACTCAGCCCCTGAGAAATCCTAGCTGGTAACTATATCTGGATGAGTGAAGTGACCAAGAATTTTGGTAAGAAACAGATACTGACAGGCTCTGTGGAGTCTTCCTCCTGACCATACCCCGGGGTCCATGACCCTCACTCCCCCCGCCCCTTCCTGCCCTAGCATATACCTGCTCATTGACAGTCAGAGATGACTCTGGCCCGGCTCCAGGATCCATGGTTACTTGTCAGGGTGGGGTGGGGGTCGGCCCACACCTAGCACATCTGTGGGATGACATGGGACAGGAAAAGCAAAGGCTGATGTGACACAGTAATACAATTTCTGTATCATCTCAAAAAGTCAGGAGGAGAATGGTAGGAAGAGAGCCAATCTAAGTTCTCCCAAATATCTGTGGAAGTAAGCAGGATTCTAAGGACTTTAAAACTAAAGTATCTTGCCTTCCTACGGCATCCCAGGAGAACCTAAACTCAGGGGGAACCAGGGTGACAAGAGGAAAGAGAACACCAAGCATCTGTCCCTGGGAGTCCCCCAGTCTGCAGGGAGTGAGCAGACCCAGCCGAACCCAAGCTGACTTTGGCCTAGACACTGAGAACCTCAGACACAGGAAAAGAGCACTCTGGCTAATCAGAGGGCTTTTCAGGGGAGGAGTCTGAGCAGACTTCCTGGAAAAGATGGTAAAGACAGGGATAAATTAAAACAGTAGTCTCCAACTTGAATATGCATGATCATCACCTAGAGCACTTATTAAAAATACAGACACCAGATTCCCCTGAAGCAAGCATCCCCAGAGAGTCTGATTCAGCAGGGGGTCCCACAAAATCAGCTCTTACATGATTCCGTGGCAGTGGCCTAGCAACCCTACAGGCCTCTAACACAAGGCAGGACAACCTCCCAGATGGTGGAACAGCCAGCCAAAGGCAGGGAGAGGAATTGGAAGGAGCCCTTGTGAAGAACAGATTGGCTGGTTGGAACCACAAACAGTAGGGTCATAAGAAATAAAGGTATAGGGACATATAGGTTTAGATACTTACATAGAAAATAAGGCAATTAACATTGACTTTGAGTGCCTCCAGTGCTAAGTGTTTATGTAACACTTATTTGTTCTAATTACTCATGCCGGCTGGCGGCATTATTACCACCACGGTACAGATGAGGAAACTAAACTCAGAGACATGTTCTAGATTCCAGATCTTTCCTTTCCTCCTCTTTCAACCCTGGGGTGGTTGATCGGTCTTCCTTATTTTATTTTATTGATTGAGGTAAAATTCACCACTGTAACCATTTTAAAGTGTCAAACTCAGTGGAATTTAATAGATTTACAATATTGTGCAACCATCACCGCGATTTAGTTCCAGAACATTTTCGTCATCCCCAAAGGAAACCCCCATTAGCTGTTACTCCCCTCCTCTGCCAGCCCCAGCCTCTGGCAACCATTAATCTGCTTTTTTCTCTATGGATTTGTCTATTCTCCATATTTCATCTAAATGGAATCATACATCATGGAACACTACATCAAAAACTAATGCTGTAATGTATGGTGATTAACATAACATAATAATAAAAAAAATAAATGGGGGGCGCCTGGGTGGCTCAGATGGTTGGGTGTCTGCCTTCGGCTCGGGTCATGATCCCGGGGTCCTGGGATCGAGCCCCATATTGGGTTCCCTGCTCAGCGGGAAGCCTGCTTCTCCCTCTCCCCCTGCTCGTGCTCTCTCTCTGTATCTCTGTGTCTCAAATGAATAAATAAAATCTTTAAAAAAAAATGGAATCATACACTAAACGGCATTTATGTCTGCCTTCTTTCACTTAGCAAAATGTTTTCAAGGTTTATCCACGTTGTAGCATGTATCAAGACTTTAATCCTTTTTACAGCTATGGAATAATGGATAATATCGGGTGGGCTTTCAACACTCTCTGCGCTGGCTCAGGGAGAGGCAAAACTGAGATTTCATTTCCAAGATGGAAAGTGCATCAAGCTCAGCTGCGACTTTCCTGAGCTCTCCCCAGGCCCGTGCTGATCCAGCACCTCCCCACACAAGCAGTTCAAGAGAAAAACCTGTAAGGGCAACACTTAAACAACGAGGAAGGAAAACAAGATCTTCATTTAATCCCTGTTACAGCATGGTAAAATGTCTTAAAGAATGAAGACTATCAGAACTTTTCGAGGACATCAGTATCTTCGCCAGAAAAAAACCGTTTGGAATTTTAAGAACATTTTAAACACATAGATCGTGAATGTAAAGAAAGTACGTATTTCACAAAATACCTTCCAGAATATCGATGCACGTGAGTCTATGCACTTGATCCTGCGTTGTGCAGTGGTCTCCAAAACGATTTTGTGAATGAGGATTCCCAAACACGGATTAAATGAAGAACAAGCAAAACTGGTGAAGCAGGTTGAGGAAAAGGAAGACCTTCTTCGGGGACCAAAACTAGCATAATGTATAGATCAAAGAATGACTTGGGCCAGTTATGGGGTTGCTCGAAAAGAAGTGGAGAAACTGTAATCAGCTGTTGCTTTACGAGGGGCAATCGGTTGCAACTGACAAGACTCAGCCTTGCTCAGTTGCTAGGCCACTATGGGTTAGATGACCGATTGCTATACTATAGCAGAAATGAAGAACTTACAGGTGTTTAATTCATAATTTCCCCCCTAGGATTTCTTTGAAAATGATAACGCAATTAAAAGATATTTATACACTTTTTAAAGATACTAATACATTTTATTTTATTTATTTTTTAAAGATTTTATTTATTTGACAGAGAGATAGAGAGAAAGCACAAGTAGACAGAGTGGCAGGCAGAGGGAGCGGGAGAAGAAGGCTCCCCGCTGAGCAGGGAGCCAGACGCGGGGCTCGATCCCAAGGCCCTGGGATCATGACCTGAACCAAAGGCAGCTGCTTAACCGACTGAGCCACCCAGGCGCCCCGATACTAATACATTTTATTTTTTTATTATTTTTTTAAAACTAATTATTTTGATTTTCCATTTAATTTTTTTAAAGATTTTATTTATTTATTTGAGAGAGAGAGAGAATGAGAGATAGAAAGCACGAGAGGGAAGAGGGTCAGAGGGAGAAGCAGACTCCCCGCTGAGCAGGGAGCCCGATGCGGGACTCGATCCTGGGACTCCAGGATCATGACCTGAGCCGAAGGCAGTCGCTTAACCAACTGAGCCACCCAGGCGCCCACTAATACATTTTAAAGGGAAGATACAAACCATTAGGGCTTAGAGAAAGGTATCCTGATGACCATCAATGTAGGGCACTCTATTAGACAAACTAAATTATATGAAAATTTAGTATTTTAAACAAATTTGCCAAAGAAAACGTGACATTTAAAGAAATGTGAAAAAAATGTTTGTGATTAAAATAATTTGGACAATTCTGGAAGTCAGTTTTAATATATTGTTCTGTTTATTGTGGTAAGTTTTATTTTAAATGTTTTTTTAAAAAAAAAGTCCAGCCTGGTGAATGTCTAAACCTAAGCTGGTCTAAAAATGCCTGCCTCTCTCCTAATTTTGTGACTCTGGTTTCCATTCATTTACCACATATTTCCATCTGGATGGTCTAGTAGGCAATTAAACTCATATGTCCTGAAAAAAAAAATCCTGTATGGATATACCACATTTTGCTTATCCATTCATTGGTGGATGGATGTTTGGGTTGTTTCTACCTTTTGGCTATGTGAATAGTGGGGCTTCAGTGAATTTTTCTGCACACGTTTTTTGTTTGAACACTCGTTTTCAATTCTTTGGCATATATACCTAAGAGTGTAATCGCTTTTTTTTTTTTAAAGATTTTATTTATTTATCTGAGAGAGAGAGAATGAGAGACAGCACGAGAGGGAAGAGGGTCAGAGGGAGAAGCAGACTCCCCGCTGAGCAGGGAGCCCGATGTGGGACTCGATCCCAGGACTCCAGGATCATGACCTGAGCCGAAGGCAGTCGCTTAACCAACTGAGCCACCCAGGCGCCCCTAAGAGTGTAATCGCTTTTTAGGGTCTTCACTCTTTGGCAGAATGTTTCCTGGCCAAGGAGGCAAGGAAATCCATGAGGTTCCTTCTCTCCCTTTCCTTCCCTAACCACCTAGAGTAGGGATGAAAGGAAGGGCAAGAAATTCAGGACACCCAGCAACTTGAAAAAGAAGAGTAAATAAGGCTTCCCTTTTCAGTTAGGACAAGGTGGGGCAGGAGGGGCAGAGGAATTTGCTGGAAGAGCTAGTAGGCATCATCCACCCTCACTGGGACTCTGGCCTCATTCCTGGGTGATGTCCTCCTCCAGATTTTGTACATGGGAGCCTTCTGTGAGTTTTGCCAAGGACTTGGCAATTTACCACCGGTGCTGGATGGGAACTGGGATGAGCCATGATATTGGTTATATACAGAAGTCAATTAGCAAGTCATCTGCAAATTCAAATAAAAGGCAGAGACAAAATGGAGCAGAAAGGTGTGCAAAGTAAATCTGGGTCCATTATAGCTTGATACATACATTTCACAGGGCAAGAATTTTCCAATTCCAAAGGCCTTTAGAAGGGAGGCATCAGTAGCTAGTCATTGTGGGGCAAGGGGCATCTGCTCAAGAGGAGCTTAAAGCCTGCTCCCAGTCTTGTGGCCACCGGTTCCTTGGGGCCAGCCATGGCCACTCACAGGGAGTGGTTAAGCAAGTGTTCACTTTGTGACTGTGTTATTCGGGGGATTCAAGCAGTAGAGAGGCTCAGGTAATTCTAACATCCCTTCTACCCTCGAAATTCCATGAGCTTATGTGGACCCGGATCCTCAATGTTTAGTCCTTTGTGTCAAGGGAAAAGGCAGGCCTGGCTCAGAGCCTCTGGCCACGCAGGCGCCCTCTGACCCACCAACCAGGCTTCTGCCTAGCAGAAATGCAGACAGAACAGAGGCAAATGCCTCCCTCATCTCAGACCCCAGGACTTCCTCGTCTCCCTTTGTCTTGGCTTTAGATGGCTCCTATCAGAGTTATGCATGTGACATAAACACCTCTCCAATCTGTAGACACGCAGCATTTTGACTCTGAGCTCTGTCCTGTGCATCTCCTAGCTCAGTATCCGTGCAGACTTTCTCCTGCACCTGGTCCCAGCCCCTTGCCAGGAACTTTCCACATTTTTCAAGCCTAAGGCTGTGGCTTGGCCTCACTGACTAGACAGCCATCTTTAGTTTGCTTTTTGACCGGTTCCCCAATGATGGGGGTAAACGGCCCATTTGCACGGCCTCCTTTGAGCTCACGATGCCATGCCGTGCCCACAGCCTGACAGCCAGTGAGGACAGACGATCCGCGGTCCGTTTTAAGAGAAGGGGCTCCTGTGATCACTCAGGCAGTAGAACTCCACACCATACACAGCACAGCGGAGCTGCTCTCGGTAAAGCTGGGGTGGGAGCCAGAGCCCACCCGAAGCCTCCTCCTTGGTCTTCTTTGTCCAGTGAGATGAGTGAAAAATACCTGACTCTAATCGGGCAAAGCACCTCAGTTGGTTCCCAGGGAGTTCATTCATCCCTCCCTTTCCTGGGCTAACATCTAAAAACACAGGTAACCCCGGGGAGAGAATGAACTGTGGGTGCTGAGGCATTTGCCCACAATCTGAAAATCCGGAGGTCTGGGACCATCTAGGAGTTCCAGCAGAGGGGTCTGAGTTAGGGGACCTGGTTCTATGTATCGTTCTCCTTTGGCAACTGCTTTGGGCTTGCTTAGGGCAACGTTCCAAGGCACCCAGGAGGAGCATTAGGAAACCTCAAGCAGGGGCACCTGGGTGGCTCAGTTGGTTAAGCGTCTGCCCTGGAATCAGGTCATGATCCCAGGGTCCTAGGATTGAGTCCTGTATCAGGCTCCCTGCTCAGCGGGGAGCCTGCTTCTTCCTCTGCCTCTCCCCCTGCTGTGCTCTCTCTCTCTGTGTGTCAAATAAGTAAATAAAATCTTAAAAAAAAAAAAAAAAAAGGAAATCTGAAACACATCCGAACCCCCTAGAGTAGCCTGAGATTCTATTAGGAAAAATCCTGAAATGTTTCATCCTTCATTTATTCAACAAATATTTCAGTGGCTACTATGTGCTGGGCATGGGGGATACAACCGGGGGAGAGAACCTTCCTTAGCTTTGTGGAGAAGCCTTCAGTCTAACATGGGAGTCAAGGAAACAAAGAGAGAACTACAAATACAGTATGTTTTAAATGTCATGATGGTTGGGCACCCGGGTGGCTCAGTCCTTAAGCGTCTGCCTTCGGCTCAAGTCAGGATCCCAGGGTCCTGGGATCGAGCCCCGCATCGGGCTCCCTGATCCCAGGGAAGCTGCCTCTCCCTCTCCCACTCCCCCTGCTTGTGTTCCCTCTCTCGCTGTGTCTCCCTCTGTCAAATAAATAAATAAAATCTTAAAAAAATAATAAAATAAAAAAATAAATGTCATCATGGATAAACAGGGGCAAGAGGGTCCACAGAAGGGATACCTACTGCAGTTTGGGGTTGGTCCCCTTCCCCTTGTTCCTGGGTTCCGACATGAAATTTTATGTGTGAAGTATCTTATGCCATGTGGAGGACAATGGAAATTCTCATGTGGGATGCAGACTTTTAACTTAGACTCATTTCTGTGGTTTTCATCCCTCCCTTAACACTTCATGTGGTTGAGGTTTTCAAGGTGTAAAATACCTTCTCACTATACAGTCAATTTTGGAGGCAGAGGGTCCTCTTCGTGAAGTTAGTGGACTCCAAGGAATGGCTGGCTAAGCTGAAATTAGTTTTACCTGTAGTCAATTGAAAGAAAGCCACATTTATTGTAGAAAATCACCTTTCAAAAATTTGACTTTATTCTCTCAGGCTACGTTGTTTGTTGGCATCAGTATCTCCAGCTCTGCACTCCTTTTGTATTTAAATTGTGTACGCACTTACCTCTTGCAGAGCTGCCATTCAAAAAGACCACAATGACGGCATGCAGGAGACTGGCATAGATGGGTAACTAGGGCTGAGCTGAATGGTGCCATCAACGCTTTACCTTATCCCTAGCTGGGTTCACTCAGTCACACAAGGACCAAATCTCAATCTCCAGCTGGGACCTTATCTGGGAACTTCAGCCTCAGAAATCCAAAAGCCTACTGATTATTTATATCATCTTGTACTCAACATGTTCAAAACCAAACTCCTGATTTCTTTCTTTCTTTTTTTTTTTTTTGTAGGCTCCACATCCAATGTGGAGCCCAACACGGAGCTTGAACTCACGACCCAGAGATCAAGACCTGAGTTGAGACCAAGAGTTGGATGCTTAACCGACTGGGCCACCCAGGTGCCCCCAAACCTGTTCCACCTGCATGTAGCCTTCCCCGTCTCAGCCAATGGGCAGTTTCATCCTTCCATAGACGCTCAGGCCAAAAACCCTGCCATCATCCTTGCCTTCTCTCTTATTGTTCACATTTGCTCCTTCACCGAATCCCACTGGCCCTTCCTTCCAATATGCCCAGAATTCCCCCACTTAACACTGCCTTGGTGGTCCACACAGCTTTCGTAGCTGGTGTGAAGAACACCACATCCCTGCACACAAGTATTATCAGCCCTTTTCTTAAACTGCCAGACTCCAGAGAGGCTGCCACCTCAAAGTCATTGCTGCCTGATGGATTTTCTGCATGTCCTTCCATCCTTCTCCATTTCTGTTCCCAGGACACAGATTTCCC